AATTATACTCTTGTAAAAATAGACTCCATCTTAACAATCTTTGATTTTTGGAGACTATCTTATTCAAAAATTTAAAAGGATTGTGATCAGTAAAGAAAAGTAATGAATGTAAAGAACAACTGACATAAAAATCAAATTGTTGGAGTGCAAGAATTAAACCTAAACATTCTTTTTCTACTGTGGAATAGTTTTTCTCATGGGAGTTAAATTTCTTTGAGAAATAAGAGACAGGATGATCTACACTGTGGTCATCTTCTTGAAAAAGAACTGTACCACTGCCAAAGTCACTGGCATCTACAGCTAATTTAAACTGTTTGTTAAAGTCTGGTGCAATGTGCCATGTTGCAAGCAATGACAAGGTGGTTAGGCACTGTATGGAGCGACGAAGTCACCAGAGTGGGGCACGATACGGCTTGCCGTACCCCCCGTAGACTGTGAATAGTGGTGGAAAGAGGTTTCGTCTTCGGCAAAGATTGAGACAATCGTTCATGGGCTAAAGTCTAGACCCTGCGGGATCCGGGCGCCACGGGGGGGGGGGGGGTGCCCTCGGGCGTCCCAGGGTCATTGCCCCCTGTTCCGTGGCTGGTGGTTTGGGGCCATTGTGCTGGCTTGGGCCTGCGTTCAGGACACTAGCGCCCGGTCGCTAACGGAGAGAGTCGAAGTCCCACGGAAGGTAAAGGCTGGTTTGTGGCACATGCCCCACTGGTTCCGACAATTTTTCATTGCGGCAGCTTCATACTTGGATAGAAACTGTTCGGAGTTTTGGTTTTGCCCGGCAGCGGGAAGATCTTGCCCGTAATAGTCTTCTGCCCAGCCTGGTCGGTTTCATTACCGGGCCAATTAGTTCACACGGCCCGACGGTTGCGTGGAAGGGTCCGTAGGCCAGGCTATCTCGCGTCCACTGCTTATCAGTGGGGGGGGGGGTCCTTGATCCTGGTTTTGACTTTAATGGTTACGAATACGTCGGACCGGGGTCTTGGACGCGGTTCTTCGTGAGCGACCGGTCAAGAGCGTCCTGCACAGTACCGCTTCAGCAGATATTTATGTCGGTGCAATGAGAACAGGAGCATTAGCTTGTATATTTTTAATGTTTTCGAATGCTCCCTGACAAGCATCTGACCAATGAAATTTTGCATTTTTCTTTAACAAATTACTAACAAATTACTTAAGGGAGAAGCAATAACTGAGAAAGTTTTGCACAATTCTCTATAGTAACCTGCCATTCCCAAAAATCTCATTAACTGTTTTCTAGTAGTGGGTGGTGGAAGTGATATAATAGCATTTATCTTAGCTTGAACAGGCTTTACATGACCTTGACCCACTATGTGACCTAAATATTCCACAGTTGCATGATAAAATTCACACTTATTTAAATTTACAGTTACATTTGCCGGCAAAAAAAAATTAAACAACGATATTAACTGGTTTACATGAGTTGAAAAATCTTGACTGTAAATAATTACATCATCGATATGGGCACTGCAATTTTCCTGGTCAGCAATAAGGTTATTGACTAGACGTTGGAATGTAGCCGGGGCATTTTTCATTCCAAACGGCATTACTTTATATTGGTATAAACCATCTGGAGGACAAAAAGCAGAGATTTCTTTTGCTCTGTCAGATAGAGGAACCTGCCAAATAACCTGATAGTAGGTCTATCTTGGTCCAGCGGAGTAGCGAGGGGAATGGGTAGGTTGGGGGACAGATGACCCCGGGCGCAAGCTAGTTAGGGGCGCCAAAATGTGCTTTGATATTATATTATTGGTAAAAATAATGGGTTTGGGAGTTGCAAAAAAGAAAAGGGGCGCTTTAAAAGGGATCTTGTCCCCGGGCGCGAATCTTGTCCCCGGGCGCCAAACACCCTCACTACCCCTCTGTCTTGGTCACATATTTGGCATCGCCTATTCGATCCATAAGATCGTCTATTCTTGGAATCGGAAAGGAATCAGACTTTGTAACTGCATTCACTTTCCTGAAGTCAGTGCAAAACCTGTAACTTTTGTCAGGCTTTGGGACTAAAATACATGGTGAACTCCAGTTACTAGAGCTTGGTTCAATGATATCATTTTCAAGCATGTATTTTATTTTTGACCGGATTATTTCAAGTTTTTTCCGGATTAACCCTATAGGGGTGTTGCTTGACGGGAACTGCACTGCCAATGTCAACATCATGTACAGCAATGTTGGTTTTATTAGGTACATCAGGGAAGAGTAAAACAAAATCTGCAATAACAGACTTAACAACATCCTTCTCTGACAATGACAAATGTCCTAGTTTCTTATCTAAGTTGGCCAGTAGTTCTGAATTTTTAAGTTTGTAATTACCAACTTTTTCTGGGACACTATCAAAGGTTTCAGTAACATTTTCTTTAAGTACTGAAGTTACAGTTGAGATTGTGTTAACATTATAATATAGGTTCTGGGGATGGACAATGATCATCACATTTTCTTTCTACATATTCTTTCAACATATTAATGTGACATAACTGTTTCTTTCTTTTACGACTTTTACGATCTGGTGTTAACACAATGTAATTTAAATCATTAATTTTGGACTCAACAACATAAGGACCAAAATATCTAGCTTGTAGTGCCTGTCCTGGTATCGGCAAAAGCACAAGCACTTTGTCCCCTGAAGCAAACTGTCTGAATTTGGACTTTTTGTCATACCAAACTTTCATTTTGGATTGAGAATCTTTTAAATGTGATTTAGCCAAATTAATGGCATTAAAAATGTTAGTTTTAAGCTATACGACGTAATCCAAAAGTCCTTCGGTGGGTGTCGATTACATCCACGTATCTTTTAAAAGTTTAAGCGGACCGCGAACCGTATGGCCAAACACCAGTTCGAAGGGGCTGAATCCAAGTGATTCTTGAACTGCTTCTCTTGCGGCGAACAGTGGCATGTTGATTCCTTCATCCCAGTCTTTCTCTTGTGGTTGTTCACAAACTATGTTACGGTCGGGGGGAAAAGGGGGGGGGGGGTGTGTCGAGAATTTGTGACACTTTGTGACGGGGGGAGGGGGTAAAAAATTTGTGACGCACGTATTTTTATTTTTTTTATTTTGAATCTAATATTTTCTTATTTTGAAAAATCTTTATTCATTTTTTTTTAAACAACATTAATTTGAGGTCAAAAGATTTGAACGTTTCGGCTTAGAGCCTTCCTCGGCGTTCAAGACAAAAAGAACTAAGATAAGTAACAGAACACAGTAAAACAAAACTTAAGAAATTTCATTTACAAAGATAATTTCTAAAGTTAAGAGATTCTTTAAAAAACAAATATCGCTAGAGCGTTTGGTGAGTAAATTTTTTTCTGAAATAGTTATTGAAATAAATCTGCGGTGTAAAAGCGATTGGGTCATTAAAATATTAATATAGTTCAGGGGCGTCCAAAATTTTGCGATTGCGAGGCTAGAGATGGGGCGGGGGGCGGAGGCAGTTGTTAGGATTCTTATGAAGTGCGCTACTAGTATGCCTGTTTTGTAAAATTTTAGCATCCCCCACCCCCTCCCCTTTCCATTACTCGATATTACATTTTATAAAAGATTTATGCGAAACACCTTTTTTTAAAAAAGCGGTTGTGTAATTATATTGAGACATTTGTGTTTCTGGTGGGTGTCAAAGCCCTCATCAAAATGTCTCGATAGTTAAGGTTATAAATAAATTGTAAAGGTTTTTTTGTTTTCGTACTATTGTTTTGGCACGTGCATTGATTTGTTTTAAAGCTTGAGTGGTGGGTGTTTTCTTTTTAAAAAAAAACAACAGTTAAATAATTAGTTAATTTTCGCTTTGAAAATGCATTCCTAACAAATGTGTTTATTTTCTTCTTCTTCTTCTTGATTTTGAAGGCCCCACGATCAATGAATTGATGATTCTGGCTCCTCACTTTGCTTTTCACTTTCTAGTATGTTGATGTTCACCCCTAACAGATATAACGGGTTTTGTGGACCTTTCCGTCGGCCAACAGCTCTCGTCCTTCCATGGGGATTCATAGTAATAGAATAAAAAGCTAAAGAAGTGTGAACATTTGCCATATTTTTAAAACGTCAAGTCAGTAGTAGCGGTTACTCTACACCCGATGGCGTAGCTAGGGCTGGTGTCAACCGGTGCGGTAAACTTAGAAACACCCAACCACATCGTAGTTGGTAGCAATGGAAAGCTTTATTTCTCAGAATTTAGATATATACAGCTTCCTGACACTCACGAAAGGAGGTTAACACTTCAATCGGCGTTGAATCATGGTCGAAACGGTGTTTTTTTTCTACCTTAATTTTAGGGTCGCCTAATTTCTGACGCATCATTCTGGAAATTTTAATAAAGCACTCATTTGGGTTGGTTGCATGTGTGGAACATGTACGTGTGATCGTTTCTACTCTTATGAAACTCGTTGAGGCCGAGCAGTTTGCGCTCTGTAAATATGCTTTTTTTTCAATTTAGTGCGCCCCCCCCCCACCCACTGAGAAGGAGTCAGCAGGTGCGGTCCACACCCCGCTAGTTACGCCAATAAAACTTATTTAGATCAGGAATGTGAGTAACACGCAATGTTTTATTTGTGACTATTTAGGACAATATATTTGAGTAGAAAACTAATCAAGTAAGCCACATTAATTCATTTTAAACTTCATCTTCACTTTGTAAAGCTAAAAGTGTTGTATTTAAAGTTAGCACTCATCGCTAGGCTTACGAAAGGGAAAGTAACAAATTGTCTGCTAAATTTAACATTTCATATCCTCCTCTCATTTACACTCACTAATGATTTTAATTTTAGAAGTGTGGTGAGTACACTGATGTGATTGACACCTCTGTTGAATTTTAGCAAGAGAAATGAAAATATTTATTTAAAATTTATGTTAGGGTATTTTGATGAGGGAAAAATAGTATGGAAGTTAACTTTCAGTAACTTGTTTTTTTTTAACAAACAAGAGAATTTCCTTTGAAGTAGGTAACGTAAATGTTAAGTAGATACCAAAAAAAAAACAAACAAAAAAGAACAAATTGGAGAAGCATACATTTATTAAGAGAACCAATCAGGTGACTTGACAACATTTGTAAAAAGTAAATATGAGTGTCAGTGTTGTTTCTGAATACAATGAAATGATCTTTCGTGAAAGCCATCAAATAGTTGAACTCTAAGGTGTCTCACACACAAGCTTTTTATTCTATATACGAACATACATGTTGGATATGCACACCAGATTGTATTTTAATGTGTTAAGAGTGCATACATTATTTTCATGCTAAATAACATAAATGTTTTCGCAGTGCATTTACAACTTTAGAATAGACACAAGACTATTACAAAGTGTGTGGTTTTTTTTAATCACTTAAGTAAACTTACTTAATATGTGGTCTTCACATTTATTTTGAATAACGCATTTTATAGCTCCCACCCATTATTTCGGCTCATTCCATTTATAAATATATATATACAAACCCTTACCTAAAGGGTTAAGTTAAAGGCCCGTTATTTATTTACCCTTTTTTTATATAATTTGAAAAGGAAAGTGCATGAAAATTTATCAGTTGTTTCCCTTTACAATGTTTTAGCCACGAGACCTGCGAGTAGTGCAGACTATTTTCTTCATAAGATGACGAACCTTATCAAACGATTCCCAGCTACTTAGAATTATTTAACAAAATTCAATAACTTTAACACAGTTTTGCAGAAATGATCACACGGTAAGGTCAAGGTCACTTTTTGTGTGGTTAAACACGTAACATGCAATAGGAGAGTTTGGGTCAAACGGGCATGTTTTAGAATCGTACCCTTGAAGCAGGGCCTTACTCTTGAAGCAGGGCCGTACTCTTGAAGCAGGGCCGTACTCTTGAAGCAGGGCCGGCCCTACGGTTAACTTTGGCGTCCCCTTTGAGCATAATCATACAATCTTTTGCAAGAAAAAACTAGGGGCCTGGGGTTATTACCTGGGGGTTTTTTAAAAACAAAAATGAACAATGACGTTGTTTTTCCTAACTTGTATTTGGCCAGAATGAACAATTTTCCTAAATTCCTATTGTGAGCACTATGAACATTTGGCATACCAATGACATTTATTTCTAGCCTTTAGATCAGTGAAACTTTTTATTGTACTTTCTTCTATTTTTCTTCCATGCCGCCCACATGCAATGTTATTTGCCTATTTTTGGAAGATCGTTGATGGCACCCTAAGCACAAGGCGCCCCGGGCAACTGCCCGAATAGCCCTGTAACTTGAGCCAACCCTGTCTTCAAGCTATAGCTTAATGAATCTCTCTCCAACATCGAAGAGCTCAAGATCTGAGATCGCGTTCAGGATGCCATCTTCTCAGATTGGTACGGAACTATTGTTTCACCAAATCCAGACGCAGCATTTCTAAAATGGATGTTCATTGGACCGAGGCTGATTTTAGTTTCAGTGGTGTTTGCTAGTTTGTCTGTGACAAGACTCGACAGTGTTTTAAAAAAAACACCCTATGAGAGGGTGCACTTTAAGGAGCTTTGAACCAACTCGTTAGACATCGCGTGGCAGAGTTTTAAAAAAAAAAACTTAATTGTTTGATATTTCTGTGCATGAAAATTCGATAATTCCTCTAGAAACTACATTTTAAAGCCACATGCCGCAGAGCTGAAATTTCATCGGGAGTTGGAGTCTCACACTTGGAGTCGGCAGAGCTGGAATTTCATCGGGAGTTGCAGTCTCACACTTGGAGTCGGCAGAGCTGGAATTTCATCCGAAGCTGGAGTCTCACACTTAGAATCGTAGGAGATACACCTATGAACAAAGGAGAGTACACTGTGGCCTAATAAATTGTCATTTTTCCTGTACACAGCCAGGTCCTGAACTAAACCCATACCATGACCAGAGCCTTATAAAATGAGACAGGGCACCAACTGCAATCATCTAATGAGACAGAAGACGAACTTGCTACCTCTGCAATCATCCTAATGAGATAGAAGACGAACTTGCTACCTCTGCAATCATCCTAATGAGATAGAAGACGAACTTGCTACCTCTGCAATCATCCTAATGAGACAGTGCACCAACTTGCTACCTCTGCAATCATCCTAATGAGACAGTGCAACACAACGTCTTACAACCTCAGCACTACAGGACATACGCGCATGGTCAAAAATGGCCAGTGGTTCCGGATGATTCGATGGCAGTCATAATGATGTGGCGATGAATCGCATGTTGGTCATCTATGTGCGTCAGACAGAGTTGATCCAAAAAAATTATATCTGTGGTCATGAAGTGGGTCATTAGTGGGTCATGAGTGGGTCATGAGACGGAAGGTTTCTTTATGGACGGCTCCAGCTTTATACCGAATCCCGTGATGAACATGTTGACCACCGTTATTATAAACACGAGAACCATCGTTATATAGTTTAAGTGGTTGGTCAGTCTCTGGGTCCTGAACTCCTCGTCTCTGTTCAGAGTGGACAGCCGAGCTCGCTCGTCAGGATTGTTGGCCGCCTTGCTCTCAGCCAACTGAAAGGGGAAAAAAATTGTGGTCAATGATATTGTTATAATGTGGACTGATAACATATATTGCTATATAGTGAACTGGTAACTTATATTGTTATATTGTGAACTGATAACTTATATTGTTAGATCTTGAAAAAAAAATTCTGATTTTCCCAGCTTGTCAAGGGATTTCATCAGCAATTTCAGACATGAAATATGTTTATAGGTATTTCAGAATTCTCAACATTTTTATTTTAAACATATAAATTATTTTTGGACTGTGTACTCAGGAAAGTGGAAATAACACTGGGAACAGGATGGATACGCCCATGTCTGTTGAGTGGGCCACGGATACGTTGGCGTCCAAACTTCTGATGTGGAAACATTTTTTAATCTATCAACTTTGAATAAAGAGGGTGGGTGGGGGGGGCGCGCAAAACAAAACAAACAACAAAATGTCAGAGAGTCAACAAAACTGAAGGGAAGACGGGTCCTGATCCACTGTTACAAATTAGTCAAACTCGTATAGAAATTATTTGTACTCTAAATCTTGATTTTTAAATAAAGAAATTTAACTCATTAAATTAATGTTGATCGTCAGCATTAATGAGACGTGTTTGTAAAAAATAAAAAAAGGCGTTAAGTCATTGTCATATTATTTTGTTGTAGTTGACATTGTGTTTCGGTGTTTCAAAGCATTCAGCGTTTCTTACTCGGTAGTACTCCTGTCTCTGGTGCTGGTCGCTCTCCCTCACCCAGATGACAAAAATGAGAACAGCAAATATGATCTGTGCCCCCAGCGAGAAGCCGACCAAGGTGAGTAGCACATAGTAGTATTCCATGCCCTCGGGGCCTGGAATAAAGGAGGGAGGTCATGGGCTTTTATTTTTAATGAGAGATTTGATTCTACATATCTCTATTGTCCTGTTAGCTTTTGGCGGAGGTAATATTTTAATATAGTTTAATGTATTTTTGCCACGTGAATGTCCTAGACATATGCTAGAAAATTGCTAGACTACGCTAGACATTTGCTAGACAGTTCTAGTTTCTATCAGCTACACCATCAATGCGTTGTCTCATGTTACAAATGCTAGTTTCTATCAGTTACACATCAATGCGTTGTCTAATGCTACAAATGCTAGTTTCTATCAGTTACACATCAATGCGTTGTCTCATGTTACAAATGCTAGTTTCTGTCAGTTACACCATCAATGCGTTGTCTCATGCTACAAATGCTAGTTTCTAATCAGTTACACCATCAATGCGTTGTCTCATGTTTCAAGGATTAGTTGTGTATTTGCAGGCTCTTACCTCCGTAGACCAATGTCCGCAGTTGTGAAATGTTGGCCATCATTAGAGCAACATCCATGAGCGCCTGTGACGCCATCTTACGAACCAAGTACTGATTGGTGGACAGCAAGGGAGCAAACTGGAATAGTAGTGATCTTTAAATATTTAACGTGCCATATCGTATGGTATTTGATTGACATTTAAATTTGACTCTTATTTTGCTTTTCAATTGTCCAGTTAATTTTTTGTTAAATGTCTAATTAACAGAAATTCGTCGCTTATTTTTCCATTTCCATTTTTATGTCACTTTGACAAGTACTTGGGCAACAACTTTTTCATCACTAAAGTAAATAAAAAAAAATTTAATGGATGTATTACACGAATTTTTGTCTTGCTCACGTCGTGCAGCGGTATTTAAATAGAACTCGGAACAACTTTGGGATTACAGGCTATCTTTTAAAATTTAAAGACAAAACACTAAAAAGGAAAGAAAATTTTCCTTTTTTTTCCCCTCTAGCTCAAAATATAAAAATCATGAAATTGTAGAATTTTCCAGATTGTATTTTCAGGATCCGTCTTCCTAAAATTGTAGAATATGCCGTTGCAACAACTACCATCTTTTTACCCACTCCACTTTAAAAAAACAAAACAACCAAAAGTCGTTGCCATTTGAACAACGCAATCTTTTGAGAGATGCTCTTATCATTTACGGTGAAAATGTATCCTTGGTATGATTGTAAAATATTTAATTTTTCAGTCACCTGTTAACGTCATGATCACATGAATTGATGTATCTCCCATTCCCAGAGTAAATTCGAAGTCGATACAAGGATCAAACCAAAAACTCCCGTAAAAGAAAATGCCCGAGTGGGCCGTCCCAAATATGTTGAGCGTTTTCACAGAGATTTCGTTCAGTACGCTGCGTCCTGTACTTTTCATAAAAGAGAAGTCATTGGACAGTCATCTAATCGCATTGAAGTCATTGGACAGTCATCTAATCGCATTGAAGTCATTGGACAGTCATCTAATCGCATTGAAGTCATTGGACAGTCATCTAATCGCATTGACTTGATCTTGTATATTTATTGTAAGTCTCCCCATGTCTATGAACTCGACCCCTGCGTTAGCTTGACAATTTTAATCTTCTTACTAAAGACTACAATGAAATTGTAGGTAATCAAAGTCTAGCTTACATGATGGGGCGTGCCAAGCCAAGGCTGTGCCCAGGAAAAATTCTGAATTTAGGCACCCTCTTCCCAAAAAAAGTATACATTAATACACATAATTTGTACGAAAAAGGACGATTTTGGCGCCCTCTAAAGGAGGCGTCCCATGAAATTGTTCCCTTCGCACCCCCCCCCCCTTACCCCGGCCTTGCTGATATGCGATTTGTACTTTAATAGTATATTTCAGGGGCACCATATTAACGTTACCCAATCAAAATTTAGGCACCCTCTTCCCAAAAAAAGTATACATTAATACACATAATTTGTACGAAAAAGGACGATTTTGGCGCCCTCTAAAGGAGGCGTCCCATGAAATTGTTCCCTTCGCACCCCCCCCCCTTAGCACGGCCTTGCTGATATGCGATTTGTACTTTAATAGTATATTTCAGGGGCACCATATTAAAGTTACCCAATCAGAGCAACCAATAGAAGTGCTCCTATATACGGTGGAGAGCTTGATAGTTTTAATCGATTGCAAATAAATTATTCGCTACAAGATAAGAAGATACATCTTGTGCCAACAGAGACTTTGTAAACTCGTAAAGCACTTTTGTCAGAACTAGTGCAGGAGATCACAAGTTGAACTGGGTCACTTCATATTTCTCCGACCTATATATAGTTTTATCCAGTGGTAAGATTCAGCCGGTTCGCACCGGTTCAGCCTGATTGTTACGTAATTTTTAGTTGGGTTCAGTGAACCAGTTGTGTAATAATGGACATGTCTTAAAGAACAGTTTTATTTTATTATTCTTTAAAGTATATATTATTTAATGCATTTACATTGATAATTTTAAACTGTTCCTTATAACATAATGTAGTCTTGTGTAGCTATTTTATTTTATAAGTATTACCTGTATGAAATGATAAACAACTTTCAGGTAAATCTTTTTTTTTTTTTTTTTTGTAATAGTTAAAACGGCCATTAGAGCAGCGAATCGATAAGATTATTTTAATCTCCCCAATCATGTTTACATCCATTTTAGAAAGTTTTTATGTTGTCTTTTGTTGTTATTTTTTTTTATTTGTTTTTTTTGTATGAAATGATAAACATCTTTTAGGTAAATTTTTTTTTTTTTTTTTTTTTGTAATAGTTAAAACGGCCATTAGAGCAGCGAATCGATAAGATTATTTTAATCTCACCACTCATGTTTACATCCATTTTAGAAAGTGTTTGACAGACGATTGGTGGGATTTCTGTCTCTTAAAGTAATAGTGTGTAAGATCTTTTAAAAATACACTTTTCCTTTGTCTACACATAAATAGTCTTGATTTAAAGATTTTCAAAGATTTTAAAACAAAAACAAACAAAAAAGACTATTATTACGCATACGGAATAAAGACAGTCCAAACCAATCAGTACCCGGGTTACGATTCACCTACCGACTCGGCTGTGAGTGGGTCAAAGCCATCAGCGTCGTCGGGGGTCCGACCCCTGGTGCTGCCAGTGAGCTCCACATCTGCCACTTCTGCCGTTAAAGTTGGGTGGACAACGGAGGACCTCATGGTGTAGTCCCCCTCACCCCCATCAGCCACGACTGGACTCGACCTGTCTGGTTTGGTGTCACTGGGGGAAGAGATAACAGAAAATTTACTATTCACGCCATCTACCCCGCCACACCAAACCTATAGCGGATCTCTTTGAGATATTAGTATAATGTATGTTGTTCACAGTAAAACGAAACAAGCTAGGACTGTGGCTTCTTACAACTGTCCCATTTTGTCTAACTTTGTCTACGACAAACTCTCAAGACCAAAGCGTTGTATGAAAAACTCTCAAGAGCAAAGCGTTGTATGAAAAACTCTCAAGACCAAAGCGTTGTATGATAAACTCTCAAGATCAAAACGTTGTAAGATAAACTCTCAAGACCAAAGCGTTGTGTCATTCACCGTGAGTTGTGTTCCAGACAAACTTTTTGTAAGATACTTTGAGATCCGTGACTTTATTCATTTTCTAAACAAAACAACAACAAAAAACTCTCTGCAGTGCATTAATTAGTGAACTGCTAATGAAACAATTGTTCAGTTCTTAAATCAAATGAATTTGATTGGCTGTTTGAAATAGGTTTTGTTGTGTAACAATCTATACATTCGCATCTGAGCGAACAGATGTCGTACATTTAAACATACACAACCTTGCAATGCCGAGATTATTAAGGAAACAAACAGATAGATTTATAAATACATTTATTGCACATTGAGTATTCTGAGCATCTGCTTGAATATGTACAGCCCCATATTTAGAACAGCTTCACAGTCAGAGAGCTCATAAAATGTTTTGGTACTAAATGAAATTGATGAGTTTCTTCGGCAATTTTTTGTGACTGGATATCCTATTCGTCGGTGGAGGACAGTGTAGGTGGCGCTCTACAACGGTCAAACATCTTCAGTCTGTCCTACAAACCCCTATTGACAGGTGCTCTCCTGTTATGTACCATCGCTATCCCCAGGGGCGTATCTAAAGTGTTGGGCGCCCGGGGAAAAGATTAGTGTTTTACGTTCACTTTTTTTTCCATCAATAAAATTCCATCACGTCCCATTTAGCGCCCCAAACGAGTCTGGCGCCCCGGGGACATATGTCCAAATGAGTTGGTTGAGCTTTGAGTATACCGAAACAAACCAACAACCAACACCACAAAAAATAATATTTGCAACTAGATTTATATTATTCCAATTGTAAGTCGCTGAGAATTGGTTTGTACTTGTCTGGGCGTACGAGTAAAAACCATCTAGAATTTGTTGATTTTGATAGATTTTAATTGGCAGTATTTAGGTATATTACTTTTTTTTTCATTAAAAGCCAGGCGTGTGGCACGGTTCTTGACATACAATTATCTTAGATGACATTTGACGTTTGAAGACACACTTTCGTAAAGAAAATATAGATCTAATTTCCAAAGTCAGTTTCAGAATAGTTTTAAAACAACATCCGAGTTCATCTGATCTTATCTTCTTATTTTCACATTAAAACCTAGCCACTTATCATCCCACAAGAGAACAATAGTCCTAACAGGCAACTTAACTTGTGTTTTCCTTACCTCGGAGCACCTGAAGTGTCTCGACTCATGACGTCCTTGAATCTGGCTCAAGACCTACGGGTTTCTCTTGGGGCCCATTCTTTATCTTTTCACCGTCGTGATATCTAATTTGACTTGGTTGTAGACTTGGGGGGGGGGGCGGGCGCGTG